CGGAGCCGGCGCCGGTGCCGGGAGCGGGGGGGGGCGGCGGGCCGGCCGGCCTCTCCAGAGCCCCTCCCGCGGGGCTGCCTGCCGGGCAGGCGCGGCGAGCTTAGGCCCAGGAGTTGTAAGAAGAGGGCTCCCGTCCGTGGCCGTGCTCTTTCTCTGCGTGCTTGTGGGGGGGTGGGTGTTTGTGTTTTAATGAGGGGAGGAACTTGAGGCTTCCCCCCTCTGCGCTTCTCAGCTCCTGGCAGGTCTCTGTTCGGAAATGGTGCTTCTGAAGAGACCGCTTCGTGTTGATTTATGGGGCTTTGCGGGGCTAGGTTAAAGTAGGTTGGGTCTGAGCGCCTTCCAGCGTGTTTTGTAGCCAGCAGTAGGTAACGCGCACGCTGCCGTGGAACGACTTCGTTCTGGGAAGGGCTGTGCTGGTCATGTTTGGCGCTTTCCTAACGGAGCGACCGGGCGGTGTTGTGGTCGAGTCTCTGCAGGCGAACGACAACACGGTGACTTTGAGCTTGGTGAGACAGGCTGCACGAGATAATTAAAGTAACTTGTATTTGATCTTTCTGGAAAACGTCTGTGTTAAAAAAAAAAAATCTGTCTAAAATAATGATATTCTTGGATGTCTCACGTGGGACAGATCCCTGAAAAAGAAGTTAATGAGGAATATTAAAATACCAACTACTGCTGCGAGGGTTTTTTCTTTTAAAAGGTAATTCTTAAAGCCTCTGTAATGGAATTATCTGGGCATGAACTAGCTCCATAGTTCACTTACTAGAACGAAATACTTGTGTTCTAGGTAAGTGATGATATATCAGTGACTGCGATCAGACTTCGAAGAAGTGACTGGTGGTGGTCTTTTTCTCAGTGTCTGCTGCTTCAAGGCACAGTTGCCCGTGCCTTAAAGGGACCCCTCTTTTTGGAGGATTGAGGTGTTTTTCCTGAATTTGTCAAAAATAAGATATCTTTGTGTTGTCTTTAATTAGGCATCTGAGCCTGCAAGCTTTTGGTTTTAACCTGTCCTCTGAATTTTCACACACAGTGTATCTTTTTTTCTTATAATCATCTTAGATTTGTTATTACAAATCTAAATGTCCAACAGTTTAGAGTCTGGCTGGTTTATACACATATGAATTATTTTCCAATGTGATGTGATCAAAAAAAATTCAGTATTTTGCATGTTAAAAGCTTAGCTGATGGTTAGTATTGTACATGGTTTAACAAGGCATCAAATATTTATATTGCAGCACTTGTGAACCAGTGTACTAGAATGTTAAATTTAATTAATATTACTGTTAATAAAGTAATACAGAGTTAAATGTTAATACATGATCACATAACTCTTTTCAAAGTAGTTCTTTCAGATTTTATATCCTTCCAATGTGTGTCATGTTGCTTTGTAATGTATGGAATGACAGTGGATGGCGACTTTTGCTATATAGAATTAGGTGATAGTAGTTTTACTTAGTTTTTATTAAATTTCCTTTCAAAAGATCTGAACTTACTTAGAAATGTAAATCAAAATATTCCTTCACTAGACTGATTTAGCTGACTTAAGAACCTGCAGGAGTTACTCAGGCCATTGAGGGGTGTCAGGTATCTTTCATTACCACAGCAATATGTGATGTAGAAGCAGTAGAAATGCAATGTAGAGGTTAGCATTCATACCAAGGGTTACGGACACAGAAAACTTAATGTAGTCTGAAGTTCATATGCGTCCATGTATTTTCCCAAGTAAATAATTATATTTTCATAACAGTTCCATTTGCTGCTTTTTAATTAAAATCTCTTGCTATAGTTTGAAGTTGCAGGCTTTTAAAAATACTGTGGCATTTTTAGATGCAAATTCTGTTATGATGTCTCCTCAAAGACTGGATCTTAACATCAGATGCTAACAGCTGTAACTACCTGTTTCAGCTACTGATTTTTTTGTTCTGGCTTACACTTTTGATTAAGTGCATTCCTTTTACAGTGTTATGCTTTTAGAATGCTGAAAGCTAAAATTTCATTCTGCTACTTCTTCGATAACAGGATTTGTATTTGTATTCATATGTCATGTTTAAAAATTCTTAAATGTTCTAGCAACTGGCCTTTTTTCTGAAGTACTTTCTCAGCCTGACAGGTAATATTGCAGAAAGGCTTGACATTACGGTGTTTGGAACACTAATTACTGCTTTGGTCATTCATCAGAAAACCTCAAGACTTTCTGTAAATATTAATTAAATACTGCTCTATTGTTTTCCTTTTATTAATGGGCAGAGAGAGGCATTTTTATATTTGAAAAGGTATGCTGCTGTGTCTGCAATAGAAGACTCAGTAGAAACAGTTTATACTGTGGTTTAAAATCAGATATGCTGGCAAAATGATTTTTCTAGTACAGTTATCTACTTTGGAGCTTTCTTCAATACCACTATTCTGGCAAAAGAAGTATTTTATGTACACATCCTCCTTCCTACATTCCCAATATAGCTATATGACAAAATGTTTTAAGTATAGTTCAGACAAAAGTATGAAGCAGAACTCTAAACAAAAAAAGGAAATCATAACTAAGTAGTTTATATATCAGGCTATTTTAAACTAAGTTTGGGTGTTTGTTTGGAGTTTTTTTAACCGGAGGTGATAAACTTTGTATGTCTATTGGTAAAGACTTGTTTTATACTGCAAGGGTGTCTAATTGCATACTAATACATCGATGTGTGGGAAGAAGAAAATGCTGTAATAATCAAAGCTTGCATCAGTTAAATTAGAAAGCAAACAGATACCATTAGTAATGCACAATTGTACAAGGAATGCGTTTATTCTGTGAAGCAGGAAACACAGAAAGGCCTAATCTTGCACACTTCTTTTTTTTGGCAGAAAAAGGATGTGATGTTGCATTTCTTTACAAGTGGGTAAACGGTTTGAGTACCTGCCCAGTATGTTGAGATTTGGGTTCAAATCCTTCTACTGTCTGGGGGAACTTGAAACCCCCATCTGTCAGTTCCCAAAGGGAATGCCTTAACTGCCAGGACACTGGGTGTTTGTGTGTGAGGTGCTTCCAGACACCAGCCACTTTCATTCTTGCGGAGTGGTATTCACTTGGGAAGGGAGCGAACGGTGTGTGTAGCCCAGGGACTGGCTGGCAAGAAGCATCAAGTACAAATTGATGATATGAACCCAGGTCTCCTTGTTACAGGCAAAGTTTTGAAAGAGCAGATGAAAGGGATTTTTTTTTTTTTTTTTCCCCCTAGCATGGTGTGAAATTCTGGAGACTTAAATCTCAGATCTTTCTCTTCATGTTTATTCTTGGCTGACTTGGCCAATTCCTACTCATGTTGAGTATGAGATATTTGAACAGCACCTGTAATGTGCCCTTTTCCTTGTAGAGCAAAGCTTGGTCGCTTATCTGTGGGTTATGGAGTCTAGTAGGTGGCATGGCATTTAGATTCTCTTGTGGATCTAATTCTGCTTTCTTATAAGATGCTGAATAATTACATTAAAAAATGTAATTGTTTCAACATATCTATAATCATTATCTGTTTATATAAAGATCACTTCAGTACCTTGTGTTTCCTTAAGTGATTTGCCTATTGCATCATGTATCTGTTCTGGTTGGCCATAATTGTATACTAAAGAACATAAATCATATTAACTATTTCTTACTCATTATTTTTAACATTTTTAATACTTGATTTTACCTCTAGTCTTTAATTTTTTAAATTTCTTCCCTAGGATTAGAGAAAAGGCTTGACAGTTGATACACGTGACACTGCAGTTCATGGTTGTTAATCATAAACTTTAGTATCTGAATTCGCTATACTTTATCAGCATAGAAAATAAACTCCTCATCTCCTGCAAAGTTCTAACAAAAGAATAGGCCATATAATACAAATGCTGGAAAAAGACAGTTCTTAAGAAAAATAAGATAGAAACTAAACCATAAGTTTCATTCTGGTCTTGCATCAGGATTCATCTTCTGGGGAAGCTGTTGGAAGGTCATACTTGGGAAAAAGTAGTTTAGAACCGGGGACAACTTCTGGTAAGGATATATTAAAAGTGATGGGACAGTTAAGCGGTCCTTTACAAAGGTATTAGGAGTACTCAAGTGTGGCAATAGTCAGTATGTTAGCATCTAAAGCACATACCTTTGTACATGCATCAACTGTTATATGCATAGTCAGTGTGAATTGTCTCATTTTCATGTGTGAAGTTTTTCAGGGATATCTTCAAGCTCTCTAGAAAGTTGAATTCAGCAAAACTAAAAACCTTTGATAACCGGGAAGTACTAGTGCAACCTCAGCAGCTGTTCTTTGACCTGGCAGCGGCACTGGGAGGTGGTTGTATGCATTCTGAGTCTGTTTCCAAGGGTAAGTGTATATTTTTGAAGTCAGGAAGGAGAGGCTGGAAAAGAAGTGTTAGTTTAGGTAGCAGTAGTGTTGAGTGGAGTTCTGAGTACAAATGTGTGAGATCAAAGGAGGACAATGTATACTAGTCCCTAAAAGAGTCACTTCTCATTTCAACAGTATATTATAAAGATTGCCAGTGATAGACGTGTGACCTGTTGTTAGCAGTGTGATGGCATAGGAGTGACTTGCGTTTAATGAGGTGTATACAAAAGAGTAATGAAGCTTAAAAAGTTCACCTTGTTCAAGGCTGAAGGCAGTTAAATATAACTGGTATGATGTCTTGGTAAAAGCACTATTGAGAGAAATTACTTCACTTTTGATGTTTCCCATCACCTGTCTGTTTCCCTGCAGCCAAATCTTGATCTTAGTTTGGGTGGCAGAGAGATCAGCAGAGTCAGCTCTCATCTGAATATTCAAATGTAAACCCAAGTGTTCATTTAACTGGGATGATCTTCACAGTTAAGGTCAATAAAGGTAGTATGCTTCAGTAATGCTTCTCTATTAATCACTTATTTAGAAGCTGTTCTTCAGTATGGCAGAGGTGAATTGTAGGGAAGGAAGCATGTTTTTCTGCATGGTGGTTGTAGTACTGAGTTACGTTCTTCAGCACAGCAGATACCGTGACAGCTTTTTCTTTAGAATGTGATACCTCTGTGCATAAAGCTAAGACTTGACCTTAATATCGGATCATGCAGTGTTCCTGCAGTGTCGTGGTTGAAAACTTGTGGTTGCCGTTGTTTGTCTTGTTTTATCAAATTGCCACTGACTTGTCAGCTACTGTTAATGAAACTTGAGATAGATTAATCGTGGATTAATGCAGTGTACCTTGGCTAAGAAAATTAAAGTTGCTTTTGTAGAAAAACTGTGTTACAGATAACTGCATTGTGTGCCATAGAAATTAACTGCATGTCTTGTACTGGCTAAGAGAATGTGTTGCTAATTCCTCTGGTATGTCCTATTTTCTAAATGTTCTCTCATCTCTGAAGGCAAAGCTCATGCTTTCAGGTTATGCACTGAGATTTCAAACAGACGAGGGTTTAAATTGTATTGGTTTATATTAAATTGATTGTACTTCTTATGTATGTATATCCTTGTTTTCAGAGAGCAAATCTCTTCTTCCCGATGTCTGAAAGGGCATATGATGTCAGCAGACAAACTTAGTCCTGTGTTGGTGGGAGAATATAGCATTAGTGGACATCACGTGCTTTCTGCAGAATCAGTTCCTGTAGGATCAAGCGGTGATGGAATTGCTTAGTGCCACTGTGCAGTGGCATTTACATTTTGTTTGAATGGTATTAGAAGTTCTCAAACGCAGGACGGAAGGAAAGTGAGTTGAAATGGAACTGGATAGACGTATTTAAAGGTGGTGATTGTTGTAAGATAATTAAAACCAACATAATGCAAGCTCTTACTATTTCATTTTCTTCCAGTAATCAAGATGTGTTCTAAATTAGTAACCTAATTACTTACAGGGAGGAATTAGCACAGTGTCTTAAAGTGAGGTAAAAGCTGATCAGCTCGGCATTGTCTTGTCGCGCTGACTGAC